GGTCCTTATGTATGTCAAATCATATATTCTCATCAGTATTGTGTCTTCCAAAGGACTACCCCCATAAGTAAAATAAGACATTTCAACTGACTTCTTTCTTTTTTGTGAGAAGGGCATGATCTCTTCCAGCTGGTAGTTTGCTCTGGGGTTTGAACAAGCTTGTTAGTCATGAAGAACCGAATTGCTGAATCTGGCTTCTCAGAATTCACTGATTAGAAGTTTATTTCTGCTGAACAGGAATATTCTCAGATAATCTTCTTCTGTTAATGAAAATAGTGCTTATTTACTTAAGGGGCACATCACTCTAATGTTGACATTGTTATGATCTGAGGGCCTTTGCAATTCATGCAGCTCTGTTGGAGCACATCGACTACATCTACTTCAAACTTTCTCTCAGAGATGTTCCTTCATGGTAATTATAGAGCAATGCTTTTTTCAAGGTTAGTTACTTTTACATCAGCACTTATGGGCTAATAGGTAGTCTGATTCCACAGATTGGGTGTTTGTACAAACTGACTCTGATCTTCCGTGCATGATATTAAACTAAAAGACATGGGAAATGAAATATAATCCTGAAAGAGAGATATTTCCCTAACATAAATAAGGAACAGTTTCAGATTCACAAGAACTAAACAAGTGCTTAACAGATAGTGCTTATTAATTGGTTTATTCTGGACATTCGCATCCTGGTGGCACGTGCAGGCTGAGTAGCAGGTTATTAAACACCATCATTACTGTACATGTGCAGCATGTTAGTCTCTGATGTAGTTTAATTTTTACTTTAAAAAAAAACCAGTAAGAAAACATCCATTTTTTGTGGATTGCTCATCTTCTATTCAAAGAAATCATCTAAGCAAACATATAAAGTCTTTGACAGCAGAGTGTGTGTAATATCCTTGTAAAATAATACCATGTCTCTGGTAAGAATGCTCTCATGTTTGCTTACCTGATTCTACCAAGAGTATTCTTCTGGTTACTCACTGAACAAATGGAAAGCAGACGGAAGATAATTAATTTTGTAAAATCCCTAAATAAAAAGGTTTAGTTTAGTTAGAGGAAAAATAATTTTAGACTGACAAAGCATATAGTTTCTCCCCAAATTATACTGATCTTACACTGAATTGTCTTTGTCTTCAGAAATGCCAGCATAGAAAATGTTAGCCAGGAAAGTTTACTCAACAAAAGAAAATTCACTTGCCAGTTTTTTACTATATAGACATTTTCCTGTGTCCCGGATGCTTGCATGGACCTTAACAATTTTTTAGAAAGGAAAACAAAGATAGGATCTTTCTTTTTAAGGCATTTATGCCATTTGCTAGAATTATCTTTTGTTAGTAAACCTAATGAAATATTAAATTATAACGATGTAATTATTAGGATTATAGCTGCTCATATAATTGTAACTATTTTATTCATTTAAAATCACAGAATCACAGAATCACAGAATGGTTGAGGTTGGAAGGGACCTCTGGAGATCATCTAGTCCAACCGCCCTGCTCAAGCAGGGTCCTCTAGAGCATATTTCCCAGGATCACATCCAGGGAGGTTCTGAATGTCTCCAGGGAAGGAGACTCCACTACCTCTCTGGGCAACCTGTTCCAATGCTCTGTCATCCTCACAGTAAAGAAGTTTTTCCTCATGTTCAGACGGAATTTCCTGTGTTTAAGTTTATGCCTGTTGCCTCTTGTCCTGTCACTGGGCACCATGGAGAAGAGACTCAAGACTAAAATCTGCCTCAAGACTATCAATTCTTACAATAAAAATACAGCAAATCTTGCCACTATCACCGACCTTTAATTCCTATTTCTTTTCCTTTCCTGTCACCCTTAACTGCATCATCAACCCCAACACCTATCAGGCTTTTTTATCCTTCTTCACCTAAAGCTGACACTAATTTGCTCCTCATTCCCAAATGTCCTCCACCCTCCGTTGTGTCCTTTTCTTTCACATTTTCCACACCCTTCCTGCCCATGACCCCGGTATTTGAGACGCTATTAATTCTCTCCTTAGCTCAGACCTCAAACCTGCATCCCTTCTTCCACACAACTGTTGTTACTTTTGTCCCCAGTAATTTCTCAGACTATCTTTATATTTGTGTCATTAGCCAGATGGTACTGATTCTGGCTCTTTGCACTCATATAGTCTAATGCACAGGAATCCTGACCTCTACCTGAGGAATCCCATGGGAAAATTTTGGTTGTATTTAACTAACCCAGTTCCTGCTGCTCCTGGAGCCAAAGGTCCCTTGCAGGCTTGTGTTAGGGCAGCTTGTTTCCATCTCAGTAGCTGTATCATGAAGAAAATGTATCATTCTGAGCCAGAGGTGCACAGACTCCTCCTTGGGGTCTGCAGAGCCAAGGGCATGAAGCACAACCCACCTAAATAAAGTGTCTGCTCTTCCTGGCCTTCTGAAGCCTTCACCTTCTGCAGTCATGGCCAACTCACCACCACAGGCCAGCACAGAAATAGGGAAAAGTGAACCCTGCCAGCGAGAGGAGAAGGTAGGAGGACTTTAGAGCACTGATATGGGAAGGCAATTCTGTGCCTGCATCCTTGGCTTCACAGAGACTTCCAGACTGGACCTTCTCCTGGGTCTGGACTGGGACAGCATCTTTCGGAGAAGGTGTCATGAAGCCCCTGCCTCACCTATGGTATGCACATGCTACCAAAATACAATCACCGGTGGCTCATTGCATGGCAAGTTTTTGTGCATGTATTCATTATTACTTAGTGTTGATCAGGAATGTGCTCTTGAAGTGATTCTCCTTATTGTCCCACACTTTGATGCCGTGTCCTACAGCACCTCCTGCCTGGAGCTGCCTTTCTGAGTGTTCTTGTCTCCTTAGTATGATTGCGGTCTGGGAAAATGACTTCAGACAGTGAATCTTGCTGGGATGAGAATATTTATTGTGTTGGCATATGACACAACAGCTGGACATCACAATCTGAATTATAGAAGATTATCTATCTCTCTCCCAGGGCATGACTTGTCTAAGCAGTTCACTACAATCTGTCTCTCCAACAGACTTTATCAAGGACTCTGAAGAGAGTCATACAAGTCTCCTGGTAGTGCAACCTCCACCCGCTTTCACCTGACAGCTGTGGGGGAGGATATACTTCATGGCTAAGAATGGATTAGCTTTTTCTGTTGGTCATATGAAAAGCATTACTGATGATGGCTCAATGAAAAATTTTTAAGACCTGAGGTAAGTATGCAATGAGGAGGCACAAATGAGATTCCTTGTGCATCCCATTTATAGGCTGGAGATGTGCTGCAGTGCTAAAACTTCCATACATGCATGCCAAGACTTTAGATTGAGCTACAGGAGTCAAATTAGTGTGTCTAGTTGCTGAGAGGAAGGAGGATCTTTCAAGTCATTTTACACATTTCCAGTAAACAGTATATCTTCTTCAGCAGTTCAGTTTGCCCTTTTTCTTTCTGTACAAGGCTATCGTAGAAATTCTCTCAAAAAGGAAAACTGCGTTTAACAGAGGTCCAGACCATCCTATCCTAAAATCCTTTCTGATGGAGGGGATCCCTTGTACTCAGGTGGTGCTAATGCATCCTTAAGATTTTCAATAACCTGTGTATTGTCTGTGGATTACAATTTTAAAGTGTCTCTAAAATCTATTCTATGCCATAGCCCACACATTGTGACCAGTGGGAATATGCAGAAAATATTTCCTGCATCAAATTCTTACACTCAGAATCTTGTTATAGGCAGTTTGAAGCACATCAAATATGTGGAATTAAGTTCATGTTCTAACAGTCTAGTAGTATAAATTATCTAAATGATATAGAAAAGCCTCATTAATAACACAGTTAAATTTTTTTCTACAAAACACTTCCTCGTATCTACATCTTTTGTCTGGTATTATGCTTGGACATTGTAGCAGTTTAGCCCTGGTCCAAAGTCTTCACTGCTAGTTCATTCTGAGCTCTGGTCAGGCCCAGAATCAGGCTTTTTGGCTACCTAACTTTCTTGTTGCTATGTCTATATACCTGAATGGAAAATCAGTAGGCTAGACTGGAAATGCCAGCTACTAATGAACACTGCAACATTTCTCTTTCACTGATAGGCTACTACAGATACCTCTTGTATGCTCACTGACCCATCTTGCCATAGGCTATAGAGAGAAGCTGGTGGTCCAAGCTCAGGTATCTAAAATACCACTAAGGAAAGGACCACATTCAATAGATGGGCTCTCATCAGAAAGAAAGATGCCCACAAGAGAAGTAGCGCTTCTGTAGGCAGGATACTCAGCTTTTAGGGAGATTGATCTGATTTACAGGAATTGTTACAGAACTGTCAACCAGTCTCCTCCAATTTTAGTCAACAGGGCATAGTACTTTTCACTGTTCCCCTATCTAATTAAATTAATAAAGCAAACAAACTGGACTGAAGAACAACTTCTGTCACCTTCCAACAAAGCATAAACTCTGCCAGTATGCAGACCTCCACAAATCTCCCTTGGAGAGAGGCCGGCAAAAAGCGCAGCTCTCAGCTGACAGTATCTAGGTTGACAGTTGTATCACTTGTTCACAAGTGGAAAGGGCCAATATGCAGTATGGAAAACTACCAGATGCTGTTTTGAGACAGAATAGTAGGTAGGCTGAACTGGTACAAATCAATCTCTGGCATTATTTTCCTGGATTTCTCTGTCTTTGAAGTTCCATTTCTATTCCTGACCCAGCTACTAATGTAATATAAAGGGCATAAGTAGCTGGGGGTGGGGGGGGTTGATGATAAAAGGCTGTATTGTGATGTAGGTATACAAGGACTATAAGTAAAAGTTGTGCCTAAAAACTAATGGTGATCCAGACCTAACCAGTAAGAAGAGAAATTTAAATTAGTGCTCACAGTGTGTATGCAAAGGAATCTATGGTCTTTATTCTCTAGGCACAGGGGCGGTTACAAAGACTAGTTACAGAAGGAAGTGACGGGGGGGGTTTCACATTTTGTGCACGACCCTCATCACTTTGCTGCCCCATGACATCCTCACTCTTCCTCTTCTATCTTCCTGTGAAACTCCCGGCTCTTGGCTCGGAGCTTGTTGACCTGCGACTCTGCAATGTCAGCCCGCTCCTCGGCTTCTTCCAGCTCGTGCTGGATCTTGCGGAATTTGGAGAGGTTGACATTGGACAGCTCCTCCTGTAGGGGGAGAGGGAGGTGGTGGTGAAGAGCCCAGGGCAGGGGTTTCCAGTCCTCCT